GACAATGAGAAGTTCCTGAAGATCAAGCTCTTCGACGGTACGGGATTCAACAATTGGCGGCACAGGATGTTGGCGTTCCTGGAACAGCTGTGTCGGGAAGGAATCGAACGAGGAAGGGGAAATCCTGGAAACGGATTCGGCAGCTGTCAAGACAGGAAAAGAGGACAGGAAGGCGTACCGGAAAAAGCAGGGCAACAAGTGTCGTTCGGTTCTGATTGGTGCGGTCGTGGATTATCATCTTGAGAATATCAAGGACAAGAGGAGTCCGGAGGAAATCTGGGACGACGTGTGTTCGATAGTCGATGGTAAGCCGATCCATATCCGCATGAAAAACGTCCTTTTCGTTCCAGAGCTGAAGCTAAATCTGCTGTCCCTGCGTCGGCTGGAAAGTTCTGGCAAGAAAGTGATTTTCCACAAGGGCGTAGTTGTCGTCAAAAATGAAAATAAAGCTGTCGTATCAACTGGCAGGCAGGTTGGTGTACTATATGTGATGAATTTTCAGTATCCTGCAATGCAAACAGTGCTATCACAAACGAAGTGACAGACGACTAACTGGCGAAGAAATCCATTAAAATAATGTGGTTCACTGTAATAGAATTTTCTTGGAAGCTTGTGCCATCATCCACCAGATGGGTTAGTTTTTTTTGTTTTGATTTGAACAAAGTTGATTTTGTGTATAATGATTCTTTGACAGTGTGCAAAGAGTGTATTATTTTGTCATTTTTTTTATGCATTTCAGTTTTGAGTAGAGTGAAAGAGATAGAACATGATAGAACCAAAACATTCTAATACATGGTGAAAATACTAGTACAATCCAGTAGTAGTGTTGCGATGTGGTACAATCCAGTAGTAGCAACAATCAATTCGAAACTAACGATTTTAAATTGGCTCACTACTTGACTAGCCTATAGAGCTTTTTGACGTTTAATCGCCGCACACTACTGTACCATTTAAAGTGAATGAGTGCGACCAAAAAGGAAACAGATTAGTGGGAAAACAAACCGTCCATTTATCCATGTGTGCTAGATTGAGAAAGATGATTAAACGTCAAAAAGGTCTATTGGTCCCAAGGAAACGATTAACGTATCCCATTCTAGTCGAAATTCTAGGACTACGCAATGTTTGTTTTGATTCGCTATGAAAGTTTGACAGATAAAATGAGGGGTTTTCGGTTTTTCCTATGTTTCGAGGGGTGAATCGATTAGCTTGGGACCGAAGAGAGTACCAGAGCTGAGCCAAAAAGTTGAGCACGTTATTTCGGGACCTTATAGTCTCAAGCTGGGCTTAGACAGGGCAAGTCAATTGAGCAAGTCAGTTGAATTCAACTGACTTGAACGCGGATTGAACGTGTAAACCATGCCATTCCACTGGCTTGATCAACTCACTTGAATTGAAAAAAGTTGAACCAGACTCAACTTTTCGAGCCAATTGAAAAAAAAATCGAAATTGACCTGACCAGCAATGTGAAGCTTGGAAGTTCGGAGTCAGTGGTGTGTGAACCGTGCCTTGCTGGCAAACAAACTCGTGAGCCCTTTGTCAGTCGTGTTGGAAAGCGGACAACCCGTTGACAAGTTGACAAGACAAGCGTTGGAGCTAGTGCATAGTGATGTCTGTGGTCCCATTTTACCTGTGTCATGTAATGGCATGCAGTATTTCATCACGTTCACGGATGATTTCACCCATTTGACGGTTGTCTACCTAATGAAATCAAAGGATGAAAACGTATGAAGCAATGGCGACAACACTCTTTCGATCTAGGATGTCTCGTCTTCGCTGTGACAACGGAGGCGAATACAGTGGCAAGCAAGTAAAAGCGTTCTGTCGGCAGAAAAGTATCCAAATGGAAATGACGGTTCCGCATACACCGGAACAGAATGGCTTGAGCGAACGGATGAATCGAACCATTGCCGAGAAGGTGCGAGCAATGCTAGCTTCTGGAAGTGGTGTTTCAAAGCGTTTGTGGGGTGAGGCAGTATATGCAGCTGCGTACCTAATCAACCGCAGTCCGACGGTAGCTGTGGATAACAATCGTACGCCCTTTGAAGTCTTGAATGGAACGAAGCCAAACGTGAGTGATCTTTGTATCGTCCCGAAGCAAAAGCGGAAGAAGTTGGATTCGAAGTCCGAAAAGACAACCTTCGTAGGCTACGCGTGTTTGTAACAGAAAGAAGGTTTTTGTTGCTCGAGACGTCGTGTTCAACGAATGCAAGATCGACACAGCCCAACCGGATGATAGCAGCGATAATGAAGAAGAACAGCTGATTGTGATTCAAGATCGTGTTCACCAGCAGGTTCGCGTCAATGATGAAGGAGAAGAAGAACGGATGATTACGATTCAAGGTCGTGTGCAGCAGCCGATTCACATCGATGAAGAAGAAGCAGTTTTGTTAGAGAACAACAAAGATCGTGAAGCTATCACCATAGATAAACTAGCTGATACGTTGATTGATGAAGCTGCTGGTGGAGATCCTGCTGAAAGTGAAGTACGCAAAAGTGGTAGACATCGTGCACCCCATTTCTGGCACAAAGACTACAACATATCGGCGTTTGCGTTAAATGCTGAGGAGTACGTTGACAGCATTCCAAGCGATATAGCGGAGTTGAAGAAGCGCGATGACTGGCCGCTGTGGAAGAAGGCAATCGACGCCGAACTGTCATCTCTGGAGAAGAACAGTACCTGGACTTTGTTCGAGCTACCTATTGGGAGACGACCGGTAGACAATAAATGGGTGTTCACTATCAAGCGTGATGGAAAAGGGAAAATCGACTTGTGGCCAAGGGTTTCACACAAACGAAAGGATTCGACTATTCGGAAACATATTCCCCATGTGGCGAAGATGGCGACATTGCGAATTTTTCTGGCACTGGCGAACCAGCGAGACCTACACGTGCATCAAATGGGTGTGCAGACTGCGTTTCTGAACGGCGAACTAACCGTGGCAACCATCAGGCTTTGAAGCAGGAAACAATCTGGTCTGCAAGCTTAGCAAAGCGATTTACGGACTGAAACAGGCCTCCCGGAGTTGGAATATGCGTTTCCATACGTTTATTACGAGTATCGGATTCAAGCGGAGTTAGCACCACTACTGTCTCTATCATTGGTCAAACGAAAACGATACAATCTATCTCGTGATATATGTGGACGACATCCTGATTGCTGGAAATTCGATTGCGGAGACCAAACGTCTAAAAGAGAAACTATCAAGAGAATTCGAGATGAAGGACCTGGACAAGGTACGGTGTTTTCTTGGACTAAACATCAATCGGGATAGAGCGGGTGGCATTATGACAATCAGCCAGAAGCAATACGTGAAGTACAACGTTTTGATATGGCAGATTGTCGGCCTTCTTCTATTCTCATGGACCCTCATCTGAAGTTGCTCAAGTGTGAAGATGCGACACGGTTCACGAAGAAGTCGTACAAGGAGCTGATTGTTCATCTAGAACTGATATCTGCGCGACGGTAAGTTATTTTGCGAGTTCCCAGTGCTGTGCCACTGACAAGCATTGGGCTCAACTGAAGTGGATTTTGATGTACCTTCGAGCTACCGTTGACTACAAGTTTGTTTTCCGGCGGTCAGTGGAATCGGAAATACTTTCTGTGTATGCTGATGCGCGTATTGGGACAACAATCCAAACGACTGGCGATCCGACGGTTGCTGGTTAAGCTACATGGAGCAACGATCTCGTGGGCAACCAGGAAGCAGACATCGGTGGCACTGTCAACAACTGAGGCGGAATTCATGGCACTTTGTCAAGCTAGCTGCGAGGCAATGTGGGTGGTGAATCTATTGAAGATGCTTGATGTGGCAATTGCCTTACCGGTGACTGTATATGAGGACAACCAACCGTGTATTGCTATCTGCGAAGAACCGAGGGAGCATAGAAGAATGAAGCATATCGTCATTCAGTACTTTTTCCTGCAAGACCTCATTCTACAAAAGCAGATCAAGCTACAGTACCAACAAACCGAGGATCAATCAGCAGACATAATGACAAGAGGATTTCTTGCTCCTAGATTTGCAAAACTTTTTGAGGCGGGATGTTAGAAGTACAATTGATCGCAGCAATCTATGAATATACGATTGTATTAAGTCTAGAAAATAAAACTTTCATTCCTTTGTCAACCACCTATAACAGTAAAGGTGTATTTAGTTTTCACTTTGTTAAAAAAAACTATGAGAATGAGCATTACATATTTGTATAATAAATTGTGAGTACATCCATGGTCACATTTGTACAGTTTTAGCACAAACGAAGTGACAGACGACTAACTGGCGAAGAAATCCATTTAAATAATGTGGTTCACTGTAATAGAATTTTCTTGGAAGCTTGTGCCATCATCCACCAGATGGGTTAGTTTTTTTGTTTTGATTTGAACAAAGTTGATTTTGTGTACAATAATTCTTTGACAGTGTGCAAAGAGTGCGTATCATTTTGTCATTTTTTTATGCATTTCAGTTTTAAATAGAGTGAAAGAGATAGAACCAAAACATTCTAATACATTTGGTGAAAATGCTAGTACAATCCAGTAGTAGTGTTGCCATGTGGTACAATCCAGTAGTAGTGGTGTTGCCATGTGGTACACTGAAAAATTGAAATAGCAGGTTAGTCACCAAAGTTTTCGAGCCGCTCCATCTGTCACTTCGTTTGTGGTTTTAGTGTATCCGCGACATAACTTTCCTAATAAAAAAACATACCCGAATAATAGAACTATTCCATAAATGGTTTGGATGATACCCGAACACGTCATTAAGCAAAATAACCATACAAATTTTATTAGGGTTCTTTGGTCATTCCTGTCGCTTTGTCGGTGTTATTGGTCCGTGCACCGAAGAATGTAGTGCGCATTTTTCCGAGTGTACAGATAGACGAGAGCTTTTTCGAACCATTCGCGCGCATCGTTCGGGGATGCTTAGAAAAAGCTCCGCTCGCGCAAGCTTTGCGCATTTTCAAAGTTGGCGCTGCGCGAAAAAGCGTAACTGTCAAAAAACAAACAAAACAAGCAGGAAACGGATTTCTTGTGCTGCTGAGCAATTTTTGCTGGAATTTGTCCTTTAAAAACTAGTGAAACTCGATTTTCGGTCTTTTTAAGTGATATATTTGTGAAATATAGTGTGACGAAACTGGAAAAGTTAACTTTTACCTAGCAAAACCAATGGAATTCGACTGGGACAACATCAGCATCGGCGAGCCGGGTTTGAATACATCTGGCAGTTACTTCTGTAAGTTGGAAGAACAAGAAAACGGCGAAAACTATTGTATTTATGATGTTGTTTTCGATTGTTTTTGCTTTTTAGTTCGGGACATAAAGATGGAGAATGAAGTTGACCGGCAGCTGGACTGTGCTGCTTCGTCCAGCTCGTCGGAGCATAGTTCGGAGCGAAATCCCAACGAAAAAGCCATCAGAAATCAGCACCAACGGCAACAGGCCAAGGTGCGGCAAGATGCGACCTGCGATCGTGCCTACCAGTATGCACGGGTTTACGAGGACAAGCGGAAAGCCCTTCGAGAGAAGGAGCAAAAGCAGCTGCAGGAGATGAAAAAATTCCATGCCCGACCGGCACCGAACTTCAAGCAAGGCGCCAAGAAGGAGAATGCCGAACCTAAGTTTACGATCCCGGTGACACCGAAGCAGATGAAACCGGAGAGAATGAAGAAGGCGGCCATGCAGGTTAAGAAATTGGTATGATTTCGAAACTTTTACCGTTTCTTATAGCCTAATTTGAATTCGTTTGTTTTTTTTTGGTAGGAAAATCGCACCAAAGACCCGGAACCGTCTAAGGAATTCAAGGCACACGATGCCAAAGTCCTGAAGGAAGAACCGTTCAAACCGGCCCTGGTTAAGACCGTGGTCAAGCAGGCACCGTTCAATTTGAGAATGTCTTCGCGGTTGCAGGAGCGGAAGCAATACGACGAACAGCTGCAGCGGGCCAAAGAGGAGAAGGCCCGTCGCGGAGTGGAAGAACGACAGTTGGCCGATGATCGGGAACTGAAGTTGCTGCGCAAACAGAAGGAATTCAAAGCCAATCCCAATCCATTCAAGCAGTAAGTCTTTATGCTCGTACAACTTTCTCTATCTTATATTAATTTCGGAAGTCATAGAATGTAATCTCCGTGAGAATTTACCGCCACCCACAAAGGAACTCATATATAGAACTAGAAGTAAAACTGTTTTGCTAACTGCTAGCTGTGAGCGCACGCACAAACGTCTTCGAAAGAAAGCCTGGTTGGGATTTCACAAGGTTGAGCTGCCTCAATTGAATTGGAATGTAGGATCTTTGCTAATCTGGGAATAAATACCAACTTGTTATCGACTACGTTTCTTTAACATAGGGGGATCCCACCGACAATAATAGCTATATTGACTGATCGCTATCGTATTGATAAGGATATCTACCATTGGTGACGAAGCACTTTCCTAGTAATCGTAATTGATTATCGATGATTCGTGCTTCTGAGAGCACATGTTTCTTTTCGGAGCATGACAAACAACGAACAAACAAGTATGTTTACGAAAAATATAAATTTATCATCCCTAATCATACACAAATAATCATCTATCAATGTGCGTGGTCAGTCATCAAACACCGTGGACCAACCGTTGCACGAATCCATACATTAACCCGACAATTGTCAGCGCTAAACTGATTCCATCGAACGCTCGGTTGGCGCCGTTCTTCCGTATCCATTCCTGGTAGTATGCCACATCAGTGTACACACCGGGATAGGCCGCTTCTCCGCATCCGGCCCCATGCGAAACGATGCCTGCTAGCTGTCCGTTGCAGACAAAAGGACCTCCGGAGTCGCCTTGGCAAGCATCCCGTCCTCCCTGCCACTCGCCAGCGCAGAACATTCCGATCTTGATCGCACCTCTGTAGCTGGTAGTGCCGTTGCAGATCTCCGTCGGCTGTACAGTGACGTTGACGGCCCTCAGCACCGGCGTTGCCATTACGACACCCTACAACTCGGGAAAAAAAAAACTTCCTGTTAGAGATGGTTCGAAACATTCGTCGGTGAAAATAAGAGTACTTACAAATGTCGTAGTTCCCCAACCACTAGTTTGACATACAATGCCCGGGTTCGGTTTGTTTGTGGTCATCATGATCGGTCTAAGCGTTGGATGATTGGTTGGAATGGCCGTGCTCAGCTGACAAGTTTCAAAAGTTCAATTAATTGTGAAATCCTAGACACCTGGTGCTAAAGTCCCACTTACGATCAGCAGTCCCACGTCGTTGTCGAAGTTTTTCGGATTGTATCGCTCGTGGATGACCACACGGCTGACGTCGACGATTTCGGTGTTTGCCGTAGCTATGGTTCGGTTCAGGCTTCCTCCAACCACCCGGAAGTAGCTGGCCGCCCGCTTTCGATCGTTGTTGTCCACCAGACAGTGAGCGGCCGTCAGGACGGTACGGTTGTTAATGAGACTTCCGCCACAAAAGTGACCATTGCCGAACTTGGTCTGGTCGATGGTTTTTCGTCGGAGCGAGACCTGAAAAAAAAGGGATTGAAATCATTGTAAAAAGTAGGTTTGTAATGTGTATTCACAATGTTTGCTCGTCAACATAGGAGGATCTGCGGTAGCAAGTCAAAAGACCTTCAAGGGCGAATTCAAAATAGATTGTGCTACATTGGCCCGAATGTCACTTCCCCGAACGGGTGGGGGCCGGAAGGAGAATTTCGCGATAGAATAAATCGCGAACGTTTGTGACTTTACAACGTGTTTATTTCTCCCTTGTCCCAAACTTACTAACTAAAATCAACGTGGTCGCTTTTGATGCCGGGGTGTATCCAGGTGCGCGCTGTTGTCCAGTGTTGGCAGTGCACACCACATAGTCCCCCCCCCCCCCGATTACACCAGGAACCTGTCTCTATGTCCTGATGGTGTAATTTTGGTATTCTGATCTGGTGATGGATGCTCACTTATACTTTGATCGCAAATGAAAGCTGGTTTTAAGCGATCTATTGAAATCCTCTGTATCTTTCCCTTTGATTTCCACGTCCATGTTCTTCTCATATCGCTTCACTACTGCAAATGGTCCTTCATACGGTTGCACCAGAGGCCTCTTGACTGCGTCGATCCTGACAAAGACGTGGCTGCACTTGTTAAGCTCGGGGTTCACGAACACGGCTGGTTTTGCATGTTGAGCAGGATCAACTGGTTTCAGTTTGCTAAACGTGTCTCGCAATTGCTCTGCGTTCTATCGATATCCTGACTTGAACGTTCTAGAAACTCCCCGGGAATTCGCAACGTTTGACCATACACCAACTCCGCAACTGAACAATCAAAATCCGATCGGAAAGACGTACGCAATCCCAGCATTATCATCGGTAATTGATCACATCAGTGCTTCGAATCATCAGCCATTATTGCAGCTTTCAAGGTTCGATGAAATCGCTCCACCAACCCATTTAATTGTGGGTGGTATGCCGTTGTTCGGATGTGTTTGGAACCCATCGCTTTAGCCAATTCACGAAACAGCATAGATTCGAATTGCCTTTCTTGATCCGTGGTGACTGTTTCTGGTACGCCCAAACGAGAAATACAGATAACGCACATAGCCCGAGCGACAGTCTCAGCAGTTATGTCTTGAAGTGACGGTCGATGATTGTAAGTAGATAGCGGTTGCCATTCGATGGTGGCAACGGTCCCACAATATCCACATGAACATGTCGAAAACGGCTGTTTGGCAGAGGAATACTCTGAAGAGGAGCTACTGTGTGGCGATGAATCTTGGAACGTTGGCATTGTAGGCAGTTCTGCACGAGTAACTTAATGTCCTTGTTCATGTTCTTCCATACGAACCGATCCGCTACAAGTCGTCGAGTAGAACGCACTCCTGGATGAGCCACCAGCGACCATGGACATGTCGAAGAACCGCGTCACGATGCTGAGGTGGAATATATGGTCTTACTTTGTTTTGTGACACATCACAATACAGGGGTCTTGATGCTAAAGCTGTCTGACGCAATTCCAGTTTCAACGCAGAAGACGAATCCAGCAGGCCTTGCAACTCGTAGTCAATCGGTGTGGGCAGAGAAATCGTTTCTGTTCTGGATAAGGCGTCTGCTACCACGTTGAACTGTCCGCTGATATGAAGAATATCGTTCGAAAATTCCGAGATGAACCGCAAGTACCGCTCCTCGTATGGAAGACGACTGCTTGGACTTGAAGCCAAAGCGTGTGTTAACGGCATGTGATCGGTGTAAATAACGAATCTCCTTCCTTCCAGCATATGGCGAAAGTATTGCACCGACATCTTCATCGCTGTCAGCTCTCGGCCAAACGTTGAATAATATTTCACCTGAGCCGGCGAGAACTTTTCCGAATAGAAGCCCAGTGGAACCCAGTTGCTGCCGTTGAACTGCTGTAGCACAGCGCCTGCTGCAGTATTTGATGCATCGATAAGTAAACTCAACGATTTCGAGGAATCGTGGTAATGCAAAAGTGCGGTTTTCGCTAGAGAGCTTTTGCGTTGATCGAACGCTTTTCTGGCATTATCGGTTCAAGCTATTTTCCGACAATCGTTCTTTTTATTTCCAGGCATTAGGTTTCGGAGATCAGCCTGTAGATCAGACGCGTGCGCGACAAACCTCTTGTAACAGTTCCGTAATGCAAGGACGCACGGAATCGTCTCAATTCTTTCACGGTGGAAGGGATTGGAAAGTCTGTAACTGCCTTGACTCTATCCGGCAAGGGGAGGATTCCAACCTTGTTCACCACGTTTCCAAGAAAGTTTAGACTACTCTCCGCGAAACAGTTTTTGGCCATGTTTATAACAAGACCGTAGGATTTTAATCGTTGAAATACGCCCGCACATGATTATAATGCTCTTCGGGTGTGTGTTACGCGATACAAATGTCGTCCACAAAGACCACCACAAAATCCATATCGCTGAAAACCCTGTGCATGAACCTCTGGAATGTTTGACTAGCGATCTGGCACAGTCACTTTATTTAGCGCTCGATAATCTCCCACAAACCTCATTTCACCGGTCTTTTTCGGAACGCAGTGAAGTGGGCTCGACCAACAACTGCTGGAGGGACGATAAATGCCGAGATCGATCATAACCTGAAACTCTTTCTTGGCAGCACTCACCTTGTCCGGAGCCATTCGACGACACCGGTGCTACCGGTGGCCCTTTCGTCTGTATGTGATGAGTAACGTCGTGTTGCACTGCTGTTTTTATCATTGTCGGTATTGTGACTTCCTTAAATTCTGACAAAAGTTCTCGGAACGGATGATCTGCAGCAACTACTGTAACGCTGTGAACGGATGCATCAGTCAAACCTCCAGTCGATGAAAGCTTAGTTAAACCATCCATAAGGCCAATATGCCGAACGTTGCGAGAAAGTCAGCACCGATAATAGCAACTCCCACATCTGCCACGAGGAAAGGCCATGTGAAGCGCCGACGTAGTCCTCAATCTGTTGTGACGTATCGCTTATCGTACACTTTAATTCTTGATCCATTCGCTGCGTGTAAAACGAACGGTGTTGCACCTTTGCTCCTGTCCTTGTTTGTTGCTGGAATTATCGATACATCCGAACCGGTATCGATAAGAAATCTCATGTTGGATGAACGATCGTAAAACAGATTCTAGTTTTTTGGATTGTACTTACACGGCTCACGGCATTTCAAAGCACACCCCCCAAACATATTTCGTCGTCTTTCACTCGGCTTGATCTCGATGTGGATCGACTTCTGGAAGTACCTCTCGACGATTTGAGGTTACGTTCTTCTGCTGTCAATGCAGCAATTTGGCTTTGAAGCTCGGCGATGGTATCTGTTCCGGAGGAGCTGGTGGAGGCTGCGGTAACGTGTGACGATGGAGACTCGAGCATTTTGTCTGTCATCTCGGCGATGGTACCATCACTGATAGCGAGAACGGCTTTGACACTCGGTGGCATCCACTGGAGGAACAACATTTTCAGCAAATCATCCGTAACATTCAGGCCCGCAGCAAGTTCCTGCATTTTCGCCAGAAGATGTGTAGGACGCATGTCTCCGAGGTCGTAAGCGCCCAAAAGTCGCTCCAATCTTCCTTGCGCTGACACTTGGAATCGGGAAATCAAACGCTGCTTGATGGTTTCGTATTTGTTTTCCTCCGGCGGAGTCGTGACCAAGTCCGCTACATGGCTTATTTATTTATTTATTTATTACTTTGATATCTTCATCCGACAATTTGTTGTCTTAATGAATAATTCTTAGCATCAACATCAATTCATTCTTCTTAGCCTTGAGCGAAATTGAACAGAGTTTTCATTGAAGTCGAACAAATTATAAACATCGTTGAAATTGCGCATGACTGCACGTACTGGCTCGTTACCGTCGTAGTCTTGTCGCCAGCGTGGTAAGCGGAGAAATTCGGTATTCCTGAGTGCATAGCCGGGAATGTTAATGTCGATGAGAGCAAGAAGATTCGGTGCATCAAGTTCGGCGTTCAGTAGTTTCGCTACAAATATGACAGACTGGTCAATTTTCGCGACGATATGATAGAACTTGGTGGTCAAGAACTTCAATACACAACCTACTTCTGGTTTCGAAAGAGTTCTCGGAATGATCGGAATTTTCAATCAAGATATTTAACCGATCATAATAGGTGAGACCGTTCCAACGAAGAGACAGATGCTACGACTGGTGATGGGTGTATTTGATCCATTGGGGCTCGTATCAGTGTTCGTTATCCATGGAAAAATATTGCTACAGGAAGTGTGGGGAACTGGCATCGATTGCGACGATGTTCTGTCGGAAGACTTACTGCCGCTATGGATTAGATGGATAAAGCTTTTATGGAACCTGGATGAAGTAAGAGTAACTAGGTGTTATTTCCCTGGCTACGATCCAGAAAGTTATGAAAACTTGGAACTACATGGATGTATTTGTCGATGCAAGCAAGGGTGCGCCGTTGCATATTTTCGCATTATAGATAGAGATCAAATTCGATGTTCTCTGGTATTATCAAAAACGAAAGTAGTGCCTTTAAAACGTATGTCCATTCCTCGCTTCAAACTGTAGACAGCCGTACTTGGAGCCAGATTGGCAAAATCCATTGAAGAAAACCACACTTTGCGAATTAAGAATCGAGTATTCTGGTCAGATTCAAGAACTGTTTTATCGTGGTTGCGATCAGATCAACGAAGGTACCGGAAGTTTGTAGCTTTTCGAGTTGCTGAAATTCTAATTAGATGCGTCACAAGTGAATGAATGGCGGTGGGTTCCCTATCATCTAAACGTTGCAGATGAAGCTACTAAGGGCACATGCATTAATTATGTCACGCTAAATCGTTACGTTTTTGCTATACCTAAAGGGTGTTCCACATCAAATTGCATCACGGAAAAAACGCTGTAGAAAATTACCCCTTGGGTAATTTCGGTTGATAATTTGGGCAGAAATAGTTTAGGGTGCATTGTTTACACTATATTTTTATAGCTGTCAGTTTTTCGAAAGTTGAAAAATCCTCAACTCACTCATCGGGACAGCGGAAAAC